TAAAACAGTTACTAGGGCAGAGAACCAGTTGTTAAATTATTTGAATCCCACCACTGGACAGAAAAAAATACATGTTTGGAACCATCCCTCTGCTACAGTCAATGAAGACAGGAGGTTGGGTTCAGAGGTTCCTATGTGTATATCTGAAAACTGCCCTACGGAAACTGGCTGGATTGGAGCTTATTAATTTAAAAGCCTCAGATCTACAGAACTGATGTGAGGAACTGCAGTTCTAAGTGGCTAATCCGTTTATTCCATTTGCCCTTTATCTGAACAGAGCATCAGAATCGATCAGTTGGTAGCAGAGGTGAGGGAGGTGATCAAGCTAAAATAATCACAGCCAATTGGAAAAATTGTTTTTAACCTAGGATTAACGCTCATTTGTGCCTTTCTTTTAAATGCAAGTCTCTTCCATTGTTTTTTTTCTCCTCCAGCTTTTTTCTCTTAAAATCCTAAAATGTAGGTGGATTAATGACTAACTTTAACTTACATACAACACCCCTGAGGATCCTAAACAAAACGGAAAATGGGGACTTAAAATATCTTTTATATCCACAGTACCTTCTCTTCTATTGTTACAGAAATGATTTCCAGTGAAGCAAGCAAAGCATTTTATGTAACAAACCATTGTTTGACTTTAAATGTGAATAAGTTGCTGCTGAACTGTACCAGTTCCATTTCAATTGTTGTGGAAAAGACAAATATAAAAACACAATTAAATCTGTTAAATAATTGATTTAGCTGATATTATTTGTTCGCATTTTTATTTAAGAGCTGACTTAGAACTTGTTCTCAAAAGTGGAAAATGATTAAAAAATCAAAAGTATTTCAAAATATAAGCATAGATGTATGCATGTATACTTCTGTGATGGTACAATGCATTATTTATATATATGGATACAATAACTTAAATCTTTTTACAATCTTCAGGCCTTAGGTTTTTCAGTTGTGGAGATAATTGCAAACTCTTTGATATTTATTGATAATAAAGTTTGTGACTGATACTGCTTCCCCTAGAGTTGTGCAGCACTTCAGATTTCAAGGGGACAAATGCTTTGGTTCAAGTGGCAGTTGTAGCAATTGCTTAAACTTAGTGTGTCTTGTCCTGGTGCGAAAGAATGTACATTAACCTTGAGACTAGAGAAGGATTGAATGAACGTTCCAGAAGGAATTTTAACAAAAGATTACTTAGTTCTGAGAAAGAGTAAGGTGTGGAAAAGAAACTCAAAATAATTCCACCTTGATTTTCTTTATTATGAGACAGAGAAATGCATAAAGAGGCTATCAAGACTGATGACAGACTTTCAAGGTAGGCAGGCTCAAGAAATAGGCAATGCTAGTAGGACTGTGGATTATAGTAGGATTCCTCAACCCTGACAATTCTCAGAGGTGCTGAGTTCAACTTCCAGAATTCTCCAGCCAGCACAGCCACTACTGAGAATTCTAGAAGCCCACACGTCTGGGAGCCACCCACGTTGAGAAATACTGGAGTAGAATAGGTTTTCTTGCCTTCCTAGTTTCTACAATACTGTACACAGACCACGCAGCTAATTTTGGTTGGAGGGAATAGATCCAAATGTCAGCATCCCTTGTTTAATTTCTATTTCTATTCTAATGGGACTAATCCTCTGAAATAGAACTCTTTATATAAGAAGTGCAAAGGTATAGATGCATTCAAGGCAAATGGGTTATTATCTTTGAGGTGGGGATTGGAACTTGTCTACATCTATCTATTTCAGAAAAAAAATATATTATTCCTCTATGTCGATATGGTGATGGTGAAGAAAGGAAAGGCACCGTTGTCTAATTTTGGGCCTATTTACTTTGAACCTTCATGTCCTTATGGATTCTTGTTAAAAAAATCGTGGCAAATGTTATCTTCTTTTAGTGTTATAAGATACAGAAATAACAATATTATAATCGGCAGGAGATAGTGGATGAGCAGAGAACTGTGGAAATACCCGCATGCACTGCTTACTGAAGAGGGAAACAGGGGTATTGGAAATTGGGCAGATCCAAATATATAGAAATCAAAGAATATCCCAATTGCTTTACCAGCTAGGATGGCTGGTTTGGTGGGTTGATTGAAATAAAACACTTAAAAGGACAAATAGTGCAGATGTAGCTCCACAAGGAACAAAAAAGCAAAAAAGAGCTTGTATCCAAAGTCATCTATCCTATAGAGAATAGGGAGAAAAGCTTTTAATAAACCGTAAAAAAAACACAAAAACTAATTCCATCATCTGTGCTCAAATGGCTACATTTTACTCCCGATTATTAAAGAGATTGTGGTTCTCCGTCTTTATTCTCTGTTCCAGCCCACTGAGATTTGCTGAAAACTTTTTGCTCAACACTTATAATCAACAGTTCAAAATTAGCCTTGCCAGTATGCAAACTGGCAGGCTGAGCACCTCCCTCTCCAGCTGTGACTCCCCATCAGCTTCAACAGTAATTAGAAATGAAAAAAAAGTTCCCCATTGGCTCCAAGGCAAAGGTTTCCTCCAAGTCTAAGTGCTGCGGGGGAGAAGGTAGAGGAAGGGCAGTTTCTCGTTCTTGATCCAACGCTGTAGTGGACACTTGCATGCCCATGAGTCAGAAGTGAGATGAAGTCACTGTTTTTTACAGTAGGATTTGACTTCAAGGAACTTAGGATAAAGAAGTAAAATCATGACGAGTATCCGTGCCTTTAACAATTCAAGCTATTGCTAACGCACTAGAATAGAGAACCAACTGGAGCATATGACAAATGAGCAATACTAGCTCTGTGACTCCGTCTGGTCACAGAGAAGTGAAATGTTGCAAACCCTACTAGCTTGCCCCACCTCTGCCCCAGTTTCCTTTGCCCACTCAACTGATGTGGACATCTTCAGGAAGTGTGTTCTCATTTCTTGCTGTGTCAGGTGCCGACTGAAAAAAGACAGGCACATAACTGAGGAATATATACATGAATGGAAAAAACTGCTTCCTGTACGTTGTTTTTTGTTTGTAGGACATGAAGCTCCATATATTAGTTCTTAGTTACATACCTGGCTTGTATTTATTTTTTGCATTTATTCTATATCCATGCAAGTTATGCGTGGTGAGATTTCTAATATAACTGAGCAAAATGCAAATTTATTTATCAAATTTCAAGGCTGCCTGATTTCTGAATGATTCTGGGTGGCTTACAATTAAAAAGTTCAATCATATACAGCACACAGCATAACCAGAGGCTGTGTTCATAATAGCCCTTTTTTGTAAATCCTATAAATTTTATACTGAAGCTTGCCATCCTGATCTTATCCATGTGTGTTTGTGTTTATTCCCATGCTTAGTATTTATTCACTGTGTGCAAATGCATCCTTACAAACTTGTCCAGAGACATCAGATGGAGTGGTGTATTGTTTTATTAAATCAGTATCCATAAACCTTACCCCAGTCCAGCTTCAGTCTCTATTGATCTCCACCTATGCACATATAGTTCTCTTGCCCCATACATGGTTCAATCCACTGTTACTCTTCCAGCACTCTTGTAGACTGGTTACGCTGATGCCTCCCACCACCACTCTGTCTTTCCATATATAGTTAGGCAGATGCATATGTGTAGCTGCTGCTCTGTAACTCTGCCTGGCAGCAGCTGGCCTAAGATAGAGCAGTTAATGGACAAACATCTGGCATAGCTCTTCCTAATGATGGCAGTGCTCCTGCTAAACAAGGACATCCCAGCGTTGTAGCACTAATGCTTTGCTATTACCAGGCTATTCTCTTTCCTCCTCATCTTCTGGACCAAAAGAGGTTGTGGGCAGCTGAAGAAAATCAGCTGGGGAGGGAGCAACACATTTTCCCCTTCATCTCTCTTCCTAGTCAGGAATTTATTCACAAGAATGTGAAATGCTGCCTCAGGGCTCAAGGCCAAGCCAAAAGCATAGAATTTCATCCAAACCCAGTCTCCAATGTGGTACTGATGAAAAAGCTAACTAGTGCTGTGGAAGAATACAGTTGATACGTGTGTTTTTGTATACCTAATTTTCTGTATATAATAGATTTTGCTTATATTATTTTAGATATTTACATTTGGAGGTGGAAGATTTCTCTGGGTTGGAGGTCACAAGATAGATTTTTGTCTAGTGGCTGTCCAAAGATTTTCAGGTGATGTAATGTCACTGGAAACAATTTTCTGGTGATGCAATACAGGAATATCAATTGAATAGGTGAGGCTGGGCATTTCCAGAGTAATTGTTTGCTTTGTTTGGAGACATGATGAGAATTTAAGAGTAGAGATGAGAGTGTTACGTTTCACAGAAATTTCATGTTCTGATTCCTATCCCAAAATATAATGCCCACTCCCAACAGAGCAAAAATCATACCCCTCCTTCAAATTAAAGTCAGATATTGGCAGTGTGAGGGGACCATCAAGGGAAGGCTATAGGCTGCCTGCCCTATGATATCTAAAGGAGTGCAATAACGTGCAGACTCTGTTCTTTCCTTTTAAAGTTGCTCACATCAAACTGTGTAATTGAAATGCCGTAATGTGCAATGTTTTTTGTATGTATGTCACCCAGCTTTCACAACCACACAATGCTGTTTACTTCCATGCTCTATGAGAGGTAGTGTTTCTTCAGATGTTTCCCTGCCCCCATTTGCTTGTTAATTCTTGATTTTTGGCTATCAGCCAAGAGGATACAATTCCCTATAGGCAGCTAATTACTCTCCATATCTTAGAGCAGTGAAAAAAAAATTCTTTGCTATAGACCTCTTCCCAGTAGAAAAAAAAATCAGGTGTTCAAGCGGAAAAAATATTTTTCTGTATTAATATCATCAACAGTAGCAATGGTATTAAGCAATAAGCTTTCTTTTTTACATACACATTGCTAAAATCTGTGTAACATGAACAGGTTTTTGACAGACCAAAGCCTCAGCCTGAAATTTACTGATTAGGAAGTATTATAGCTGTAACATTTCTAATGTTACACTGTAGTGCAATGATTTAAAGTAGAATGATTTAAATATCAAGACAATCAAATGGTTCAACTGATTTTATTTAGAATGGGTCCAATGCAATTTTCCATTTGGGTTCCATATTTCAGATTCACCCTTTGTATTCCTCAGAACACTATAGGAAGTCTTAAAAATCAGTTTAATATAAGAAAGAATGTGAATCCTTAGTACCTGCTGGACATTTATATACGTTTCTGACACGGGACTCAAATGTACTTGTTTTTTTATGTTGTCAAAAGGAAATCCAGGCATGCAAATAATTCTAAAGATGCCTTTTTTTTAAAAAAAAAATATCTGACTTAGCTTTTGTAACAGGTCTATCGTTTCAAGCTGAATACCATGCATTTAAGTTTAAGCCTTCTGCAATCTGCTCTTGGCCATTGCAGAAGTGAACAGGAAAATATGCTCACCCTACTGGGAAGATGAGAATTATTTGGCCACCAGTTCCTTACAATCTCCCACTTATGGGTTCCTCCAATTTCTACCTGACCTTCATGGGATCAGACTGATTTTACTGGTGAACAATTGCACTCCACATATCACACAGCTAGCACATTTTGACACACGGAGTGCTTTTCCTTTTAAATACTAGTCTTTGTGTCTTTGCTAGAATCCTGACTTTTTATTTTAATGAACATAAGGTCATGTTACAGAGCACAAATGAGGTCTAAAATTCAGCCACAGCAGACCACAGCTCCACAGAAAACACATCTTCAAGGTAGGCTGACCTGCTTGAAAAAAGAGATTAAAAACAGCACAGCAAACATGGATCTTCAATGCACTGTTTCTCTAATTAAATATTAACGGCTTCATTTCACATTTAAATGAATTAAGCATCAATGGATGGAATTTCCACTACCACCAGCTGTTGTTGCTGTGCCATGGGAAAAAGCAGGTGACAATGTGGCTCAGATGGGAGAAGGGGGACATGGTTGATAGGGGCAAGTGATCTCAGCATCTGCACTAAAGTGACGTAAGATGATCCATCGATCATTCACCAGTTTCAAAATATAATCTTCTACAGCATTTCCCTTCCTTTCCTTTGTAAACAGATCTGCTCATAAATAATTTGGATGTCTCCATGACATTCATGATACTTAACAGAAGCTGAAGTAGAAAAGGATGGATGTGGTATACAGCATCGAGAAAATGTCAAAAAGTACTTCATTTTGTGGTTGAGTTGTGTTGTTTAGCGTCTGATGAGTGGATTGCAAGTTGTATCAGCCGTCAGACACGGGAGGAGTGACCCATCCATATTTTTCATGGGTCTTCACCAAGCTCTTAAAAGTTGCTTCAGCTTCCTTACGACTAAAGGACTTTTTAGATTTTCCAGCTTTTCTGCAGATGCGGCCCTGAAAGTAAGAAAATAACCAAGAGAAGAAAATTTAGGACTCTGGTATTCCACAGATACTGGCAATAATACCACAATTTATTACGTATTGGGGCTTTCCATTGGCAAAGCTTCTCTTTACCAGAAAACACATTGATGACAAATTTTTTGCCACAAATTTCTCTAGCTGTCCCACCCATTATTTTCTATAATTCTGGCTCACTTCTACCCTTTTTTTTCCTGGAGAAACTAGCAGAAAATGCATGGAAGTGCAACTACCCACCACATTTACTTTCTAAGTGTTCCAGAGAGCTATTATTGTGAACAGAAAGAATGCTAGAGGCTGTTTTCAAACTTTGTGTTATGCCAGTTTCTTATTTGCATATTTTGAAATCCAAATACATGAAATCGGGTAGAAATGCACCCTGTTGCCTACCCTTTTGTAGACTGCTTTGTGTCGTTACTGCACAATTTTTCAAGGATTATGTGGAAAAAAATCAGAAGGAAACACAGTAATTTAGAACTTTAAAAAGCATTTCACTCATATTTCTAAAAAGACATTAATTCGTAGCTCTACCATCTGTCCTGAAAGTCTTTAGAGAAAAGAAGACGTCACACCCCCAACAGTCATTTCCAGGCCTCCATGTCTTTGCATCAATGTCTATGTTCTGCCCACCTAACACCTGTGTTACATCTGCTACTTATCCACTCAATATTATTTCTCCCTTGGAATATAAGAACAGGGGTAATAAAAGCATTATCCTCTTCTTGCTCCTTCAAAATTGTATTTGGGAAAGATAAAGGTCTTTAAAATGCACTATCTTCTAACTTTGTGTGCAAATGCTGGGAGTGTGTGTGTGGGAGTGTGAGTGGACATTTCCTAAACCCTGTAATGTTGGCTTCTTAAAATGAGAGCCATTCTTAAAGGGGAGCGGAAGACATTTTTATCTGTGAAATGGAAGATTCTATGCAAAAGACCCACAGTTGGAATGATAACAACAAAAAGACAATCTTTATTCTTTGTACTTTCTTCATCTCTTAATAGCTTTGTAAGCCATAGCTAAATTTCTAAGCTAGGTTAAATAACTTTGGGAAAAAAGGTAAGTTAGGAAGTAGACGCAGAGATTCAGGGAGCATTTTCTGTGAGTTTGGAATGTTCTCCCTTTAAATAAACAAAATGTGCAGATCATTTTTTGTGGTTTGAAGAAAGAAGTCTATTTTACTGAAACTTGATCAACATTTTTCAAGTTTTCTTGGCATGATATGGCAATCCTTTTTTTCAGGAATTTTTAAATGTTAAGTCAAGCCTTCAGCCTTGGACCTTCCAGATGGGATTTATTCCACTACTAATGAAAGCCAACCTGCTTAGCATTCTTGATCAGCTAGGGTCAGATAGATGCCGCCATTTTGGTTCATCAGCTAAAACATTAAGACACTTGAATATAATGATTAAGAACAACCAAATATGAGATGCAGAATACACAACTTTTTTTCTGTAGAGGTATCTTAAAAATACTAGACTGAACTCAGCAAATATCAACAACATTGATTATAGTATAATCACTATACCATCCTAAAGTCTTGTTTTGTTTTTCTATACAAACTAGGTCTTAGCAGGAAACAGCACCTGGGTAACCTTGTTTGGGTTCTGAAACAGCAGTTTGATACTTGGGTGGGAGATCTCCAAAGAATATCAAAGTTGTAGACTGAGAAGTTAAAAAATCATCCTGGACAAAGGCAATGGAAAGCGCTTCTTACTGCTGCTAAGAATACTACTTGGGCATGTCCATGAAATCCAGGAATCCAACTTTATTTAAAGCACACTTTGTGTAATATATGTACATTGCTTTAGTCTTATGCAACTTTGAAAGAAACCTCAAACTGCTGTTTGCTAGAATGCAAGAATTTTGTAATGACCCTCTGGCCTCAGAGGACTGCAGTTTCCAGAATTCCCCAAGAAAATCTTATCCTTAAGTCTAAGGTGCAGCCATGCCTAGTAAATCTATTACAAAGGAGAGATGTTCAGGGACATGAATTTCAGAAAGGAAAGACAGAGATAGGAGGCAAAGAGAAGAGACAAGGAAACAAACAAGGAAATAAAGACTGTAAGACAAAGTTGAAAGCCAATTTATTTAACTAGCAAATTGGAAACGTCATATACACATGCACAAGAAAGTACTACCTGTATGAGGCAATATCCTACAGGAAGTATAGTGGAGAAAATAAATCGAGCGAACAAAATGGAGACTGCTCCTCCCACCTCCATCTTTTTGGCTATGACCAGGGTCAAACCCAATTCATCTCTGCTTAATCCCATCAAACCCAAAATTGACCTTCCCTGGCACTGTAGTTTTAGTTTAACAGAAGCCTGTATGAAACTCTGAACTTATGAAATCACTTTGTCTCCGTTTGCTTCTCTGCATCCTAGGTTCTCTATGGGTCTTTCCCAACTACTGAATTAAATTATTATCCATGTATCCTTGAATTGGCAGAAGGCATGAAACTGCTGTTCCTCACTGTGGATCTATATTGTTTCTTCCCAGGCACATTCCCCCAGCACAACTACCTTTGCCAGGAAATAAAGCCTCATAAGATATACACCCCTTAAGGTTGTGCTTAAGGTGTTGGACGGGTTTGGAATAAGGGGAAAAATACTAGTTTAGTAAAAGTACTGTTTATGATATGTTAAGGCTGTTTCCCAAAGGGCTGGAGATGACATCAAGGAAATGTGGGAGAAAATTCCTGTTGCCAAGGAGCAATTGTGTTGTGGGTAGATGGAAATGGGGACCACGGCCCAAGAGTGACTCAGAATGTGCAATAAAATGAACGAGTGCTTGTGTTTAAATGTTAACACTTCTCGTACAAACAATGGATTGGATGTAGAATTCGATTGAATCGACTGGATATAGAAGGGATCTGAGAGAAAATTACTGGTAGTATGGAAGGCTGCTTTTACATTCTATACCATTGGGGACCTCAGGAGAGAAATTGGCTGCTCCATAAACAAATGCTATGAACTTCTTGAAAAGGTTTACCATTCAGGAACAACTTGTTTTAACCATGCCAGATTCATATGTAATCCTAGACTAAAAATATTGTGTTTTACCAACAACACTTAATGACCCAATTCCAACTTCATACTAGGTAAAAATCAAACAAATCTCATCAAAAGTGACAAACGCTTCAAAGAACTTGTCATCCTTCTTAGAATTGCCATTTGTACTCAGTGGGGGAAAAATAATCACTTTATGATAATTGCTTGTTCATGGTACCTGCAGTCAGCTTTGTTTTTCAAAGCAGTGGCTGGAGTAACTGATCTCCATTTACATTTCTTATGAGCTATTTGTTTGACTGGAAATATACTGCCTTTCTGAAAGTATCATTCTTACCAAATTGCGAATTAATCGGCAATGAAAATCCTGGAAAAAGTTCTACAATGATTGCCCTGATTTTGGAGCATGTTGACTGGAGGAAGAGCTCACCAGTGCTCAGGAGGATTTTAAATTTACTGACTTTACTGCTTATATGTGCTTAGTATAATAAAGTTCTTTATGGGAAAAGTGCTTGTTTCACAAAAGACACGTGTTTGCTTTTTTGCATGGTTTTATATCCTGCCCGTCAAGCAGTTCGAAAGCATGCAACTGAGAGTAGATAAATAGATACCACTTCAATGGGAAGGTAACAGCGTTCCGTGCGCTTCATCCTTCTGGCCACATGACTATGGAAGGGGCTTTGGACAATGCTGGCTCCCTTGGCTAGGAAATGGAGATGAGCACTGCCCCCTAGAGCTGGACAGGACTGGACAGGCTGAAGAAATGAATTTTTTTAATTTAGATTTCTGTTTAGGCATAATAAAGTAGTAAGATTTTGATAATAAAATACTTTGTGGAATAACAAAAGATCCGGACTTCAGTATTTAAGCCAGGAGTCCCCAACTCCTGGTCCATGGACTGGTACTAGGCCGCAGCATGCCAGCAACCGGTCCGCACAAACAAGCAAAACCTCATCCGTGGGATGCAGGCAGCACACAAAACCACACACTCTCCGGTCCATGGAAAAACTTTTCTCCACGGAATCGGTCCCTGGTGCCCAAAAGGTTGGGTGGGGACTTCTGATTTAAGCAATCCTTGAAAACGAAGGACTGTATTGCACAGAAAAAGCCCCTTCCTTATTCATCTTGAGCAGTTCACACTTAGATATATACTGGAACCAGAAAGCTGGTTTGATATACTATCTTGGTTTTTAATTTCCCTAATCTCATTAGTATCAATATGAAACCCTCTTGGCAATTCTGCTCATAAACTCAAATTCCAGGCGGTAGGATACCTTCTAGCATTCACTGGGAGCAATTTCTCTGGTTCACTCTCACTGCTTCCCCCTTATGACTATTCCTAGAACTCACATAACAAGGTAGTTCCTACAGAAATGGTCCCATTGCATCCAATTTGCAATAACAAGCTGGGAATGTTCTTGTCTGTGTTCTCCCCCAACTTCCCTTTGCTCAGTAGGTTATTCCTAGGGTATTGTGAGTTGTACTGTTCTAAAAAGTAGTAACTCCCAGTGTTACTGCATAAAGGCCCATGCATTAAGCAGACTACCTGCAATTTTCCAGGGTAGCTGACAATAGCTGATTATTCACATTTAAGCATAGGTGAATGCATAATTAACCTTATAACTTTCTCTGTTTGTAACTATGTTAACTATTTAAAAATGATCTGAAAAGGAGAATTTCATAAAACCAGAATTGCTTACTTAGTCTTGCCAGGCATATACAAACAATGGCAGACACACTAATTATTACATTTTTTGAAAAAAATGAAATGATAACATAAAATGAGACTGAAACCATGGTTGCTACAATCTGAGGTACCCATTCAGAAACCAGGGTTAGAAACGTAGGTATTTAACAAAAAAAGAAAAGAAAAGAAAGATTAAAGTGACAATCTAAAGCAGCAATCCCCAGCCTTTCCAGCTTGGCAGCCCGGTCCCTGAGGGGAGAAGAAGGGATTGCTCTGTGCGAGT